AGCAAAAATGGGAGAGGAAGGACAAATCGGGGCTTAGGTTTAACAGCTTGTCCCAGCATAATATTCTGATTATGTTCTGACGGCAAGGGCTGATTAATAATTTTAAAAGAAGAGAAGACTTAAAAGTAGGACATATACTGCCTGCTCAACTACCTCTCTGTAGGTAGTTTTTGATAATTCAAAATCAGAGTTTGGAGGTAGGAAAAGGCCCATCAAAAAGAACCAAAGAGTAAATATTTCTTATGAAATAAGAAACTATTTATTATCAGCTGTGAATCTGGCTTCTTCCAATAGAAACTCAACGCTCTGAAAACGTACTGAGATGACATCTTAGGAAACAGCAGTTCTCTCCTGATCCACAGCAGAGGACCAAGCAGGCAAACGTAAATGCCTTGACATGACTCTGACAATATACTTAAATTCTCTGCCAGAGAGACAATCAGTCTGGGAAAAGAAGCAGTGTTTGCTCTGCATCCCCAGTTCAGGCCCTGGACTCCCTGCCAAACCTGGCAGCCCTGCCAATGAGGGAGGATGCTAGATGATCTCATTTGCTTTTACGGTGTGGCTATTTGTTCAGCGGAGATTAGAAAGACAGCAAACTCATTTCACATAGGATATCAAAAACGCATAACCGGCAACAACACTAGAAGTCACTAGCCATTTCAGTCAGATAAAAAATCTGAACCTATTTAAAGGGACGTCAGTTTTGATTGTTTTACAGCTTTGTCACAGATATCTTTCCAAAATGGTGGTACTCCTAGTTATCTTCGGCAGGAGAGATCTCAGTACCTTGAAATGCCTTTGTGACATCCTTTGACGAAAATCACTCTGAAGACCTTGAAAGAGCAGTCCCTTATGCAAATGTATTTTTTACACAGGAGCAAAAGCTGTCTCTTAACTGCTTATTTTTCTGTCAACGAGTGCAGGCCAGTGGAAATGGCACATACACAAGGCCACTGTTCATAACTTCCTGGTTCATGAGTTACCTATTATTGTGAACCTTAGGTATCATCTATATATTTATAACTGCTTTACTGCCAAATTTCAATTTCCAATGCACATTCCTGACAGCTTTATGAAACAAAGCCCTAATTCGGACCCCAAGATGTAGCATTTTCCATTGCACTGAAGTTTCCATGGCTCACAGTTTTCTCGCTTCAGATTAATGGCAGTCTTTCCAAAACACTGAGAGGAGGGAAGAGAAAAGGGGTTAGATTTCAAAAGCTCTTAGACGCCTACAGATAGCTATAGGTGTTGAGTAGGATCTTCCCAAGTGCTACCAGAAAGCCTGCAAGAAAATTATTCCTACTGTTAAGATTTACAACCAGACATTTCAGAATACACTGAAATATATTGAAAACAGTAATTCTTTGGTTCCCATTCCCTTGGCGCAAAGCATAAGGCTTCACTCAATGGTGCTTGAAAACAGGCAAAGAAACAACGAGCTCCACATCCCAGCAAAGAAGACGACAGTAGTATAGATCTGCACTCCTAGGAGTCAGCATTTTCCAGTAGTAGTAGTTAATCTGACATTAAGTATCAGTAACACCTACCTTCTCTGCCCACTTCTGGCTCTCCAGCACAATATGTATTCGTGGATTTACCTGAGGAATTTGTTAAGATCTCCGTGCTTCATATACTCAAAGACCATGATGAGCGGATCGCCCTCGACACAGACGCCGTAGAACTTGACAATGTGCTCGTGTTGCAGGTTAGTTAGCAGCTCTGCCTCGCGGTGGAAGTCCTTGCGGGCATTGTCACTGGCATCCTTCAGCGTCTGGCAGAGAAAAAGAAAAGGTAAGAGATGTTTGCAGAAAGTATCAAACATGTGGCATGGCAATGTAAGGGTAAGATAAGGACACTCTACTGCATAAAGGATGGAGGAAGTACCTTCTTTGTAACTCTTTTAGAAATGCAGATGTGATGTTTAAGTGCAATTAAATAACGGCAGTACAATTTTCATTGTCCTGCCACATGTCATCCCAAACAACGATTTTTCTTGTAAGAGGATGTAGGAATACTCATGATCTTACTGTGCCAAGTGTTTTCCAAACACAGAACAAACAAACTGATCTTATCCAAAAATATACTAGTGCACAGCTGGTTTATATCCTTTAGCATTTAACTCAGGCAAACCCTAGTATCCTGTTGGTATTTACCTTTCTCGTAAGTTCTTTAAAAGGAAACTCTGCTTGCTTAAAATACTTACTGGGAACGTAGATGCATTCTTTATGTATTACTAATGTCGCTGTTGCTGATGTTGGCCCCTATGGTGTGCTATACATTAGGTAGATTTATACAAGGGTACGTCCCTGTCCCTGGACCAGAACTTACAACCTGAGACTTCAGCCAGAAGCTCCTTTGAAATTCAATAAATCTACTCACATGCCTAAGATTGACCATATGTATAAGTAACTGGAGGATCAATCCTAAACTGATAGATAGAAAGTAGATGCAGATCAGAATTCTGGGGTGTCAGTTTTCCTCACCCCCTTTTATTTATACAGCTCTAAACTCTCGCATATTTTCATTTTAAAGAAAATATATCAACACTGGATCAAATAGGAGGCTTAAATGTCGTCTAATGAAATAATGCTAATTCAGCTGCCACACATAGGCAATTTCGGATCTCTTCTTAAGAACTACACTTCCTGATCAAGGAAACACTTTCAGACACCGAAAAAAACCAAATTCTGACACCAATTAAACGAGGAATAATTATAATTGACAATAAACCACTACTAGGCTCTACCTTCAAAAGGTACAGTGGTTGCACTATACTAATTCAAACAATATTTTTAAAACAGTAAGAGAAAGATAGCAAGTTACCAATGTTCATAAATTATTATTCACAGAAACTGATGTCTGGGCTCTGTACCTCTGGATTTTAACTATACCTAGACTTAATATAAAGGAAGATGAGATACAAAGTAGTGGCTTGGTTTTAACTAAAGATGCTTTTCTCCTGGCCATCTAGTCACTTTATTTTCTACCCTGAATTCACATACTGAGCATGAGACCAACCACTCTCATCAGAACCAACACAGAACAAGTTGATACTGTGCAATTATTCTGCCAACAAATCCAGTTTTTAGCTGCAGTAGTCATGGTTTGTTCAAGGTTTTTCTTTAATGGAGACAATTCTGTCCACTTTTCTAGTATTATGTATATGCATGTGTGAAGAAGGGACTAAACAATGACTGTCGGAGAAAACACTTGCTTGACTTGTGAAACTACAACCACAGCTCTTGAAAAATGAACAGCGACCATAAGAAGGTCCAGATGTGGGGTAAAGGAGCAGGGCAGACTGGATAACCATCCACCAAATTCTGTATTTCAGGCTTTACGGATCCCAGAGGCAATAGAAATCAGTCATGCCATAGATGTCTCTTCCCTGAGGGGACCCAGTTATGAATCTCATGTGTCTTCAGGCCCAGAACCCTTCTTCCACAAGTTTTATAATAATGATGCAACAAGAATATTGCATCATCAAAGCTTCACAAGCTATGATATCATAGAATCATAGAATGGTTTGGGTTGGAAGGCACCTTAAATAATTTATGCTAGTATATATATTCTACATTAGTATACACAGTTATATCGTTTAAGGTGGGTATCAAATTGGCTCCCCACAATGGTCCCCACACAAGCACATCTGAACCAAGCGAGGACTGAAATTGAAATGTTTTCCAACGCTTCCTGACTCTGGGATGATGCTTTAACATGGTACAAGCATCAATCCACAGTCCAATCTACGCTATGTAATGAAACCACTGGGAACAATTCTGTTGTCACTTGAGTTTCCTCTGGTGGTTTCATGTATAAAACAATTGGACTGTAATTCTTCTCAACAACAGAATTAGAAAAAAAATCCGTATAAAAAACATTTTTAAATAATAGCAACCTGGAAAAAAAATTGACAGGGAGAAGCATAGGCTGATACTCTTTCCAGCAGGCTCTTTCCCTGGAAAGACAGTAAAAATGCTGACAGCTCTTCCCTGTGAGGATGACATATTTTATATTTCAGAAGACGCTTTTTATCTCACAGAAACAGCAAAATTATCATATGACAGAGCAGTTGCCATGGCAATTACACATTTTCTGTCAAACAGCAAAATGCAGAAAGGTCTAAAACTCAGGTAAAACTCAGGCAGGGTCTCTACTACCAAGGGGCGACTCGAATTTCTGTCACCCACCATTGCAAAACCCCTTTTTCTTTATTTCACACAATGCACGGGACAGACACAATGCATGAGAGATGGCTGACACAGGCAAGGAGGAGATGGGAAAGTGAAAAAATTAGCAAGCATGTAAAATTTACATAGCACTGACATTGACTAATGCATTTAGCTTATTCTCAGTGCAAGAGAAAAAAATGGAATCAAAATAAAACTGTAAGAGCATAAAGAGAGAGAAAGACTTATTCATTATTATTATCATTATTGACAAAAACGCCAAACCTCTGCATACAAAGCACTCTCATCAGTCAATAGGTCTTCTTCCCAAGTAGGAAGTGAGATACAACCACATGTACTTTCCAGCCACTCAGGCCAGCAGCTAAAGAGGAGGGACACACTCCCTTGGGCAACACAGGGACTCCTTGGCTGTTACAGCAGCTCCATGACTGCTGCGTTCATCCTTGTGACAGCCGGACCGCCACCCCACACTTATTCTCCTCCACAGAGTCCTTGCCCGGGTTTCCAGGTACCACCTGGTCTCTGCAGACCTGTGCTCTGCAGTGAGCGCACACCGTCAGCCCTTTAGCCCACCCCGACACCACTGAGCTGCGCTCACAGAGGAGTCAGAGCAACAGCAGAGGGATCTGGCTCTCACCAGGATCAGTGTGACTTGCTAATGAAACTCTCACGACAACTGTCCTTTACATTGTTTCAGCCTTCCCCTGTGGAATCCTTACTACTGCTCCCCATCACCATACGAGAACCTAGTGGTGTATTTCCTCGGGGAACAAAGGGGTAGTTTTGACCCTTCTCTGAACCGAAGACCCGAAGACCATTTCTACTGCAGGTGCTGTAGAAATGGTCTTCCCCTCATGCCCATGGCAGTCTCCTAGCTGAGCACAACCCTGGAGCAGCACAGGGTGAATTCTCCTCCACCTCCCAGGGCAGCCAGAGCAGCTGCTAACCTGTGCCCTGACAGTCATCCTCATCTCCAGCTCTGGCCTGCGCAACACTATTCCTGGGGATCCAACCCTATGGGGAGACTGTGTCAATGCAGACATGAACAACCACTGCGGCACGGCAAAATGGCCTGAAGGAAATGACAACTTCTCCTTCCTCCATCCTCTGCTCTCTAAAAATGCCTGCAGCAAACGGCGTACCGATGTCACGCACAAACCCAGCCTAGGAGAAGGGTACGACAATGCCCACGCAAACAGCTTGACCTGTGCTTAAGCTCTCTGCTCACAGAGTTTGACCCATGGAAAGCATTTCCAAACACTCAGTGCTCCCCTCAAAGAACCTGATGGTTGAAACAGATTTAAACAGATTGTCTTTCTCTTCCAAGGAGCAAAAGCTCAAGTACTTTCGGTTGTTTATGCTAAGCCTGATTTTTTATCTTCCCAGATTCTTCTGGGCCTCTTAGCTCCTAAATAATTTGCTGCAGCAACGTCAGCATTTCGCGCACCAGCCAGCTGAAAAGGAGAAGGATGCGTGTTGAGCCAGACAGTGATGCTCAGGGCCAGGCGCAAACTGCGCAGTTGCCCAGCAACCGTTGGGGCAGCCATCAGGGACCTCCAGTCATCCTGATCTACCCCATGCAGGTGAGACCGTGCCTCCTTGCTGCCAAAATCCCCCTGGCACTGCCTTCCTCCTCACCAAGTACGCATTCCCGTCGGGCTCACCAAATGTATTTCACAGAGACAGATGTGCTGTGGTTTTGCTCAGGGAAGATGAAGCTCTCTAAAGGCCTTGCTGTGTGCTGGGAGGAGCTGCTCTCCACTGCTGCCATTCAGGTCTGCTCCTCTAAGACTTAAAAACCAAAAAAAATCACACATTTTCATGGCCAAACCCTCTGCCCAGCAATGGGGCCTGGACACAGTCCTCTGGCTAGCTCTGGACACCAGTGAGGTCCTACCCCTTGACCTCCACTGAGACTGAAGGACACCTGTGAGCTATGGTTGGTACTACAGTGAAAGAGAGAAGCGTCAAGCAGTTAACATCTCAGTTATATGGATCAATCCAATGGCACCGTTCGCCAAAAAAATCACTCTTTGACAGCAGCCAGAGTCACATCTTCAAGAGCCTATGTGAGACACAAAAAACGGCCATAACCTGTGCCCAGAGGTAATTCTTCCCACAGCTGCCTGCAAGATCCTTATTAAGGACACTACAAAGAGTGGATTTGGTAAAAAAAAAAAAAAAGTTTGACAACTGGTGCAGAAAACTGATAGATTTGTCATCTAAACCCATGGAGACATCTCTCCCTTTAAAGTCTGAATACTCTTCCTTGTGAATTACACTAAGAAAGAGCAGCAGAGAGTGAGTGCGGTGCAGCATTTAACAGGCGAAGTGCTAGGCTCCATTTGGTCAGGACTTTCAAAGGGAGCAACTGAATGGAAAGACTTTTATTTTGCTATCAAGCAGTTCCCTGAAGTGATAGAGGAAAGGCAATTTCCACTCCAGCTTCACCAAAATACAATAGAAAATTCATTCAGGTCTAGTTTTGTCATGTCCTATCTTCTTCTTTCTCCTGTCTATGATATATCCCTTCAGGGCTTAATTTCTTCTCACCAGTCAACGTGACTGAACAGCTCCCAAGTATCAAAAGCTTGTAACCTTGGCAAACCCCAAAAACCTGTTATTTTTGATGGAGCAAGAAAGCACTCTACAAGTCCATCCTCCTTTCATGTTCTCTCACTGCCAGATCCGAAACTCTGTTTCTTGTTTCCAAATTCAAAAAGAGGATCTCCTTGGTTTCTTTTACTGTATGGTTTGATCCAAAATGTACACACGGTTGCCTAATTGTGACTGGCAAGATAAAATTATTTTCTGATCCTTAGGCACAGCTCAAACTTTAAATGTGTATTCCCCCTGCATTTAATGAGACACTTCAAATGCTGAACACCTTGTTCAGGTTTTGGCAGAACACAAATGGAGATAAGAGATTGTTGCCAGGGAGACTTTGCAAACTCTTAAGAGTGTAGTTTAACCGACATTGTTTTCTAGCATACATCGTACATCGATAGCTGAGGTCGACAATGAACCTCAGCCCTTCCATTCTGAGGGACGAAAAGGCTTGGTATGGTGAAGCAAGTTCGGTGTCCAAGCTCTGAGATCAAGCTGGAAATGTCCTTACTCCTTGGTAGACTACCAATGTACCAGGTACTCTGTGCCCTTTAGGACAACCAAACAAACGCCTTCCCCGCCCC